TTTTTAAGATTTATTTATTTATGCATACAGACCTGGGGTACAGATCAGAAGTGTGGGAGGTGAGAGGAGTCAGCAGAGACAGAGTGGGGAGCAGAACAGGCAGTTTGACGAAGTACATTGCTTAGGGGAGCAGCAGGTGAGGTCTGCTGTGCCATGTGGGCCACTTTCCTGGCCGGGATTGAACTCGTGCTACAGTGGCTGTGGCTAGCTTCACAGTGCTGCACTTTAACCCATTGCACCATCAGGGAGGGCCTCTCAAAGGTTGATTTTAAAGTTTGTCTTTAACTGAACCTTTGGTTTCTCTCTATCCCACATCAAGTGACACCACCCAGTGTTTATCTTTCTTCTTCTAGCTAATTTCACTTAGCATCATCCTTCCAGAGCCATCCATGTTGCTGTGAATGGCTGTCTCTCCGTCTAGTTAGCCCAGCCTCTCCTCCTACAAAGCCTTTCTTAATTGCTCCAACCCCTTCGCCAGCTCTCTAACTTCTTATTCTATGCAACATCATTACCAACTAATTTTCTAAGTCCTACTGAAGGAGATTTTAGCATATAAATCTCCACTGAAAAATTCTTCAATAGCTCCATATTTTTAACAATATACATTTTGTGCATTGCTATTAAGGGCCCTCTACTAAGTGCCAGAGATACGTCGTAGGATAAAGAAACAATCTCTGTCCTGCAGGCATCATGGACTGGTGGTCTATTCATACTTGGGACACACTGGAGCTTTACTGAATTGTCTAGAGTGAACTGGCAACAACTTCAAGAACCTTCATGACCTGTCTGCGATTTATTTTGCTAGTTTTATCTCCCATTTTTTTCTTTTCTTTTAATCCAAGTAAATTAGACTACTTGCCACTTTCCAAACATATTTGCCACTTTCTGTCTCTTACATTTCCTCCCTTTGATCTCTGTTCCTGAAATGACCTCTTTGCTACCTACATGAATTCTGACACCTGTCCTGCCACCTTCTTCATGAAATGTTATGATTGCTCATAAAGTTCCAATTAAGTCAGCTTTCTTAAAAAAGAACCCCAAATAACACAAGTGGAATGACTGCTTTTGCTTAAATCCTGGTTTGAACAAAGCAGTTGTAAGAGATATTTTAGGGTAAATGACACATATGTTTGTTTGCAGCTACCCAAACAAACTCTGGAAAATTACCCAAAAATGGTAAGAAAGTTTATATACTGGAGAGAGAAATAAGAGAGAATTTCTACTATGTGCCATTTCCCCCCCTGATTTTTGAAGCATGGAGTGTATTAACTATTCAAAGAATTAAGTGAGAAAAAAATACATTGTTATTATGCAATGTTGCGCAGTCACTTAAAATAACATAGAAAACATAGCTACTTACTTGGGAAAGGTCCGTGGTATGGGAAGTGCACAAAAGCATAACATACATTAAAAATATGAAGTGGAGGGGCCCTCCCTGGTGTTGCAACAGGTTACAATGCAGCTCTGCAAGCTAGCAGCCACTTCAGCCTCCCTGGAGGTGACCCATAGGGTGCAGCAGACCTCTCCTGTCTCCCCTCAACAGTGTACTTCATCCATCTGCCTGTTCTGCTCCCTACTCTGTCTCTGGTGAAGCCTCTTACCCAGCACATCTTTGGCCCAGTTCTGTATGCATAAATAAATAAATCTTTTTAAAAATATATGAAGTACATAAAGTAATTGATAGCCAGGAAATGGTTTCAGTTAATTTCAGGTTCTTTGAGGGCAATTTAATCTTTTGGAAAAAAGGAAAATGATGTGGCCACTCAAAATAGTGATCAAAAGGTATGTAAAATGTAAATTTTTAATATATGTGAAAAACTCTAAACAATATTTACTATGAAATATATGTAAATATTAGAATCCATGAAGTAAAATCTGTCGCATTGGGGATGTATAGCAATTCCTAAATTTAAAATTTTATTTATATATATATATTTAAATTTTATTTTTTTAATTTTATATATATATTTATATATATATTTAAAATTTTATTTATATATATATATTTAAATTTTATTTTTTTAATTTTATATATATATTTATATATATATTTAAAATTTTATTTATATATATATATTTAGTGATTATGAAATTATTAAGAAATTCAAGTAACATTTCTATAAAACAAAGAAAGTCATGTAGCTGGAGCTAACACTAGCAAGGTGTGTGTGAAGAAATTGATAAGAAGGACAGAAGGTGTTGATCATGAACTCTAGGATGGAGGTAACTTAAGCCTGTCTCTGGGACCTAAGATTGTAGGAGAATTAACTGTAGATATGTGAGTCTAGAAAAAATTAGGTTTGTCTGCAAACCTCTGTTAGTAAAGGGCTTTCTTTTTTGTATTTTAATTTTTTTAAAGATTTATTTATTTATGCATACAGAACTGGGGTACAGGCCAGAGGTGCAGGAGTGGTGAGAGGCTTCACCAGAGACAGAGTGGGGAGCAGAACAGGCAGATCATTGAAGTACACTGCTGAGGGGAGCAGCGGGCGGGTCAGGAGAGGTCTGCCACGCCATGTGGTCACCTCCGGGGCAGGCGGGGATCGAACTCATGCTGTAGTAGCTTTAGTTTCTTAGTGCTGTGCTTTAACCCGCTGCGCCACCAGGGAGGGCCGTATTTTAATCTTCTATTGATAAAAGATGTACTACAAAATATATCGTTCTCTTTTATTTATGGGCTTTTCTTTTTATTCTTTGTATATGTGCTTTTTCTTCTTCTTCTTCTTCTTGGCTGTAAGAAAACTGATCTCTGAATGATCTCTTCAATAGCAATACTCAGCAGCTTGGTCTCTTTATCAGTCCTCACCCCCAGAACATCTGAAAATGGGTACTCTCCTTTTCTCATTCCTTCACCTCTTATCCAGTGGGGCCTGTCAAGCCCACCCCCTTAGTACTGAAACTGATCTCCAAGTAATCACCTCTTAGTGGTAAATCTCCCTGTAGCCAGGCATGGCTCACTTCTTTGACCCCTGTCTCTGGTGCTCCTGGCATCCGCACACACCATAGCTTTTCCTCTCTATTCCATCCATTACCCTAAACTGGATCTAATTATCTAGACTATGAATAGCGGCCTCCTACCAGATGTAAGCATACCGTATGCTCCAGCTTATTTTTCGCTGAATACACAGTGTGCTTTTGTGCCTCTAGGCTTCGTTTTGGCTCACCCTTTCGTGCCCCTGAATGGTCTCCCTCCAACTAGGCAGTTCTAATTCTCATCCCCTAATTTCACTTGCCACGTTATCTTCTCTAACCGTCCACCAAATGTGTTAGTTATTTATGCAGTTATCATGTTTCCTTGCTGAATTCTGAATTCTGTTCAAACAAAATACTGCATTTTGAGCCTTCTATGTGCCAATCCATGCTAAGTGATAACATGGATTATCTTTAATCCTCACGTCTCCATGGGTAGGCCAGGACTGTCCCCATATAACATTAAAGATATAGAGACTTGTGAAGGTTAAGCAGCTTGCCCAGGTCATGTGGCTGATGAAAGGTGAAATTAATGGCTTTCACAAAAAGTACCATAAACTGTATGGCTTATAAACTACAGAGATGTATCTTTCACAGTTAAGCAGGCTGGGAAGTCCAAGATGAGTAACACTCTGGCAGATTTCAGGACCTGGTGAAAGCCAGCTCCCTGCATGTAAGCAGCTGTCCTTTCATGATGTCCTCACATTTATGAGGACACTAATCCCATTCATGAGGTCTCCGTTCTTGTGACCTAAGACCTCATCTCCTAATTTCTTTACCTTGGGGGTTGGGATTTCATGAATGGGGGGGTGGGGAGCACAAACATTGTGTCTATCGTGTTCACGTTTGTATTACTTAACATGTCCTCACCTATGCTGCATCCATCTGTGGTAGCAACATGCTAGATATAGTGTCTATTTGTAAATCAAGACTCCAAGGAAGTAGGGAGGTGGAGCTTGAACAGTAATGAATTAGGGTGGCAAGATTTTTGTGATGTTTTAAAGCTTAAAATAAATAGTTACTAAACTGGATGGTAGTTACGCCTACCCACTGTAATTGTTACTTGTAGTTTTGTGTCCCTCATTTTATTGTCACCCCCCCTCCCCCTCAGGGATTATCTTTTTCCTCTAGTATTCCCAGAGCTTTCGCCACATTACTCAACACACGGTGTACGTACTTGTTGATTTTAACGTCGGTGTTTGCATATGTGCGCGGCAACTGGGTACAGCTCGTTGTTGTGCGGTGTAGCATACATTCCTTCTCGTTCTTTCCCCCGGAGCAGCTGCAGCCTGCACGCTCTCCTTGTGTAGGGTGGGGGCGGGGGTCGGCGAGGGGTGGCGGAACCACTGACCCTTTAACAAGTTGGCCCTGGCAGAACAGGTGTTTCCCCCGCCTTTCGGGGGAGAGGGAGGGATGGACTCACGGCGACAGCAGTCGCTAGCCAATGAGAAGTCAGGCTTCGGCAGCTGCGCCAATGGGCGGCCGGGGGCGGGTCTGGTTTCCTGGGCGCCGGGCTGGCCGGGCTGGTCCTGCGGCCGC